TATTGAAATGCATCAATATATAAAGAAATAAATTTGAATGTACAAAAATATCAAGACAATGTAGATAAAATGATCAGAATATATACATATAGATGTTGAAAAACTACAACAATTATGTAGATTTTTAATCAGTATATAAACATGGAGCTATATCATGGTATAAACTAGGTAAATATATAAGTTATATATTTCAAATTTAAATATAAATATATATATATATATTCCATAAAATCTGTGGAAATATCAAAGTATTTCAACTATTTCAATATTCAAATACATAGCAGCCTCTAAATTCCACAAGAATCACAGATAAATCTTTGATTTGGTCAAATATACACAACGATACACACATAAAAACTATAAATAGATAAGTTCGCAAACCAAATATAAGTATAAACATAGCAAAAACAATGCTATACCAAAATATGAAAATATATCAATATATTATATATCTATATTTAATTTATATGAACCGACCTGTCTATCACAAATCTTCTTTTTTAAAATTCAATTGTTCAATTTCAGCTTCGTTTTTTATTGTTCAAACAAGATGACAAGTAAAGAAAAATCAGACTGAATTACTACATTCCATCATTCATTATTGAAGCTAAAATCAAATATTTCAAACCAAAAGCTGTTAATAAAAACAAAAATAAATGACTGGGATGGTCGGCATACAAAAAGAATATGATAAGAAAATTGAGAAACATAGACATAGATAATAAGACTGGATAATGGAAATACTAAAATGCATATTTTCCTTATTTTTCTTATTTTTTTCATTGTTTCTCGTTTTTTCTCTCTTTTCCCTTTTTTTTCCCCACTAATACTAAAAACCAAGTCACCTGGAACCCTCAGTGGTCATTGCGTGCGCAGTTCGGGCAAGATTCCACGCTAAAGCGGCGACGCCTCAGACCGTCACGCGCGCGAACCTACTTCTCTCTGCAACGGAAGCTCCGCTTACCCGAAAAAACACCATGTCTCGTGCAAATCCTAACATTCAAATCGCATCCACGATGTAGCAGTTCCAATGCGATCTGTCAAGAACGGCTTGCAAAACACAATCAGAATCGCAAGACACAACACGTCTACTCTGCTCTACTTCTACCTCTGCGCTTCTCTTCTCTAGTCTTCTCTACTCTGCCCCTACTCTACCTCTAGTCTACCTCTAGTCTACCTCTAGTCCCTGGTCTACCTCTAGCCTACCTCTAGTCTACCTCGACTACCTCTACTACCTCTACTACCTCTACTACCTCTACTACCTCTACGGCACGTGCCAACCGGAGACACATGGACACAATGATCTCTGGGCTAGTGAGAATGTGACTTCATGATCTCTCTTTAACGCAAGTGCCCACTGGACACAATGATCTCTGGGCTAGTGAGAACATGCCAGCTGGAGACAAATGGACACCATGATCTCTGGGTTAGCAAGAATGTGACTATTCCACTGCAGACTGAATTGCGCAACACAATGGAATTGCAAAACACTACTGTACAACACATCGCTTTGATGCACCAGTTCCAATGCACAAAGTGTGTCAACACATGCACAACACAAAAACACAATAGCGCAGCATCAACAAGGACGAGAAAAGGTCACCTGGCATCCTCACATTGCGCGCGCATTTCGAGCAAGATTCCACGGCAAAGCGGCGACGCCTAAGACCGTCCCGCGCGTGAGCCTACGTCTCTCCGCAACGGAAGCGCCGTTTACCCAAAAAAACACCATGTTCCGTGCAAATCTTAACGTTCAAATCGCATCCATGATGTAGCAGTTCCAATGCGATCTGCAAAGAATGACTTGCAAAACACAAGACAATCGCAAGACACTACTAAAGACCAAGTGAGCAGCCGCCAAAACCTCCATGTGGAGATTTAAAGGGCTGTTAAAGTAAGATGGCTCCGCGAAAGGTAAAACCACGTTCGCGAAAGATTTGCGAAAGCTTTTGCGAAGATTTGCTTCCGCGAAAGCTCGCGAAAGAACTTTCAATGCTCAAATTCCATCAAAATCCTGGTTTGTTTTAAGTTTTAAGTTTTAAGTATATGTTTATAGACAGTGTCCTCAGATGTATCTGGATCCATACGGATATATTTCTATATAGATTTGACCCGAAAATCCGCGAAAGCTTCGCGAAAGCTCCGCGAAAGATCCGCGAAAGCCCTAACTAGCTGAGATGGGCCCCCCCATTCGATAGAGAGTGGCAGTGCCCACTGTGATCTGGCGCTCGCGGTGTCTGGCTGTACCCACTGAGATCTGGCAGTCGCAGTTGGGGCCCGACAGTCCCACTGAAATCTGGCGCTCGCGGTTGAGGCCCGGCAATGCCCACTGAGATCTGGAGCTCGTGGCTGAGGGTGGAGTGGAGGACGAGGAGGTGAAGGAGGAGGAGGAGGAGGAAGAGGCGATGGGCGGCATGCAGCTCTGATAAAATTTAGAGGCTTTCACATGGCAGGTGGGGAACACATGTTTCAGTATGTGTTTGCCAGGGAATATAGGTAATTCTTTTGAGGATTTTGACGCAGCCATTCCATTGCGATCTGCAGACACGGACGTGAAAAAGACAAGAGAATTGCAACACACTATATACTGTAAAACACATGGCTGTGATGTGCCAGTTCCAATGCACAAAGTGCTTCAACACATGCAAAACACAAAAACACAATAGCGCAGCATCAACAAGGACGAGAAAAGGTCACCTGGCATCCTCACATTGCGCGCGCATTTCGAGCCAGATTCCACGCTAAAGCGGCGACGCCTCAGACCGTCACGCGCGCGAACCTACTTCTCTCTGCAACGGAAGCTCCGCTTACCCGAAAAAACACCATGTCTCGTGCAAATCCTAACATTCAAATCACATCCACAATGTAGCAAATCCAATGCGATCTGTCAAGAACGGCTTGCAAAACACAAGACAATCGCAAGACACTACTGGAGACCAAGTACGTTTCGAGACACCTTGACGCAGCCATTCCATTGCGATCTGCAGACACGGACGTGAAAAAGACAAGAGAATTGCAACACACTACTGTAAAACACGTCGCTTTGATGCACCAGTTCCAATGCACAAACTACCTCAACACACGCAAACTAGCATAGCAATTGCAACACACTACAGTACAACACATCGCTTTGATGCACCAGTTCCAATGCACAAAGTGTGTCAACACATGCAAAACACAAAATCACAATAGCACAGCATCAACAAAGAAGAGAAAAAGTCACCTGGAACCCTCAGTTACATTGCGCGGGCAGTTCGAGCCAGATTCCACGCTAAAGCGGCGATGCCTCAGACCGTCACGCGCGCGAACCTACTTCTCTCTGCAACGGAAGCTCCGTTTACGCAAAAAAGACAATGTTCCGTGCAAATCTTAACGTTCAAATCGCATCCATGATGTAGCAGTTCCAATGCGATCTGCAAAGAATGACTTGCAAAACACAAGACAATCGCAAGACACTACTGGAGACCAAGTACCTTTCGAGACACCTTGGCGCAGCCATTCCATTGTGATCTGCAGAAACGGACTTGAAAAAGACAATGCAATCGCAACATACTACTGTAAAACACATCGCTTTGATGCACCAGTTCCAATGCACAAAGTGTCTCTACCCTACTCTACTCTGCTCTGCGCTAGTCTGCTCTACTCTACTCTTCTCTTCTCTACTCTGCTCTACTTCTACCTCTGCTCTTCTCTTCTCTAGTCTTCTCTACTCTACCTCTACTCTACCTCTAGTCTACCAGTCTACCTCCACTACCTCTACTCTACCTCTTCTGGACACAATGATCTCTTGGCTAGTGAAAATGTGACTTCATGATCTCTTAAGGCGCATGCCAACTGGACACAATGATCTTTGGGCTAGCGATGATGTGACTTCATGATCTTTTAAGGCACATGCCAACTGGACACAATGATCTTTGGGCTAGTGAGAATGTGAAAGTCCGTAACTCGGGGTTTCCTCCATGAAACTTCCTTTGACAAGCGTTTGTGTGTAAACATTCGTCATATTCTTGCGTGTAAAAGCCATCGTGTGTAAAAGAACTGTGTGTGAAAGGGACTGTGTGTAAAAGCGTCTGTGTGCAAAAGTGTTTGTGTGTAAAAGGGTTGTGTGTAAAAGTGTTTGTGTGTAAAAGGGTCTGTGTGTAGAAGCGTTTGTGCGCAAAAGCGTTTGCGTGTAAAAGTGTTGGTGCGGTAACGAGCCCGTGTGTAAAATCACAGTTGTGTGTGAGGCGTGTTTGTATGTATGAGCATGTTTGTATGTAAAAATGTCTGTCTCAATTCTTCTGCCTGCGTCTCCTTTGTTTCATTTTTTCTTTCTCCTTCAATTTCTTCATATCCACCGACTTTTCACAACATGTCTACAACATGTCTCCTCATTTTACGCATCATCGTATATGTCTATATTTGTTTCATGCTATTAGATCTTCATACTTATACCTATACCTCTCACTATGCTCCTTTACGCTCTCGGGCCATCCGTCGTCTAGTTCTTAACTGTGCAGCGTCTGTTTTTTGAATGGTTTTCAGATTGATGGAATATGTTTTTCTTGGCGACGATCCAAACAATCAAAAGTGGCGCATGCGGTGGGCCTTTTTTTAATGTTCATAGGAAATATTTTTTTGAGCAGCCGGCGGCGTTTCTGCCTGCAAAAAAAATTGAGCAAAAAATCATTGAAAAAATCAGTGTCCAGAAATGAAAAGATAACACGAAATCGGGGCCGTGTCTCGAAATTAGCTGCGCAAACATTTTTCAGCCAAGGATCCATCCCTGGACATTTGATTTGATGCATTTTGCATATTGCATGCACCTTATTTCTTGGTACAGACCTTAAATTCAACCCGTCACTTTATTTACGCAAGTTAACAACTACATGTACTACATGTTCTACACTTTGCCGCTTTCCAGGTTCTCTGTAACAGTTTGAACTAGACCCAAAATGCGGGTACTTGGACGCGTATCGCACAAGCGCCAGCAATTTGGACAAAAATTCATCACACTGCAGGTGGAAGCAGCCAAAAAATGCGTGGACATGGGGCAGCAGCCAAGGGAACAGATGCCCTTCGCCGGTGTTTGGAGGCCTCTGCCACCTTGATATCTTGTCAGGCTCACGAGTAGATGTGTTCTGTCAGACGCCGGGATGTTGGATGTCTCATGGCATTGCCGGCAGTCATCGGTTCTGCTGGCATAGCATTGCCAAATGTCCCTTGGCACATTTGGCAGGAGCTGCGGTGGCATGGAGAAGCATTGCGACAATGTGCAGCAGGACCCTTTTTTGGAGTTTCTTCGTGTTTTTTCTGGTTTACAGGCTTACAGGAAGATTTTAAACAATGCCTTTTTTGGAGCTGCAAGCAGGCGCCAATGCGCAGCAGCTGTGTGCGGAGGCTAGCGTCCGACGGAAGGCAGGGACGACAGAAAAGCCGAAAAGCGACTTAGCATATTCAGTATGCAACCTTGCAACGGGGCAATGTTTGGCCTGCCGGCCAACGTGAGGAATTGCTTTGGAGCCTTGGGGGCGAGCAAGAAATAGAATGTCCGCGGAAGTATTTCGCAATCATGTGTTGTTGCGATTGCAAAGCATGAGAACCCATTTTGCTTGAGCCACTTGGGATTGTTTGTATTGGTCCAAGAATTCAACGAGTAAGAAAGCAATCATGCCACTTGCAAACATCATCTGCCAGATATTGCGGGGGTCCAGCATTAAGAGCGTTCACAGCCTTAGCTGACAAGCAGACGTCCTTCGTGAAGGGACACCCAGCATATTCGATTCTGCCGAAATGTTTTGTTTGCACTCCATTGCCCGTACCGTTGAACTGCACCCATATGCACCCACATGCCACATGCAATCCCACTGTTCCCCTATGTATATCTCGAGAATCACCAATGAGCAATTTTCGATTGCCAGCCTTTGGTTTTTCTTGCTGTTTGAAATGGCAATGGCTGCAGTGGCGACTGCGGCTCTCTTAGACGGGTCTGACAATTTTGTCTTGCTTGAAGATGGTGCGGCATGCTTTCTTTTCCGCGCCATTCTAAAGACCAGCTGTGGTTTCTTTATCAACATTGTTTGTCTCGGCGCCTTTTTCGTTTTTCAATGATTGCGATGGGAGAGCTCAGAGGGTCGGGCTACCTTGCTGTTCTTTTTCCCCAACAGCAGAATGCTTTGGGGTCTCAGCCCACATAGCCTTCGGGGTGCTCCGGGGCACTGCTCGACCCTGCCGCCTCGTTTTGCCGGTTCCGGGAACCAGGGTTCCGAGAACCGGTTCCGGGAACCAGGGTTCGGGGCAAGGTTCCGGGAACCCAGGGTTCCGGGAACCAGGGTTCGGGGCAAGGTTCCAGGAACCCAAGGTTCCGCAAACCAGACTTTTAAGCAAGGTTCTGGGAACAATGGGTTCTGGCTACCTTTTGGGTTCCGGGACGTCAAGGTTCCGGGAAGGTTCCGGGCACACTTGGCTTTCGACAAGGTTCCGGGAACCTTACCATGGTTTCGAGCAGCCAGAGCCTGGATTGTGCCAAAGTTCTGGAATCACCGGAACACCAATTTTGAGACATCCTGCAAACCCAGAGTTTGGGGAACCAGGATTCTGGCAAGGTTCCAGCAACACTGGGTTCCGACAAGGTTCCGAAAACCACCACAGATGCGGACCCACAGTTTGGATATACTTCCTGGATTATGCCACAGGTTCCGGACAGGGACAAGGTCAGAGTTCTGGCAAGGTTCCGAGGTTCCGGAAACAACCCAGGGGTCGGATATACGCCGTGGGTTGTACCAAGGTTCATGCTACGGACAGGGTCCCAGAAAACCAATTTGCAAGGAAACCAAGGTTCCAGGACCAAAAGGGCCCGGTCAACGAGCAATCGCTGACAGGGGGGGGGACAGCGTGACAATAAATCAGCGCGTCTCGGTTCCGGAAACCCAGGGTTCCAATATACGCTGTGGGTTGCGCCAAGGTTCCGGAAACGAGGGTTCCAGGAAAACAAGGTTCCAGGAACACAAGGTTCCAGGAACACAAGGGATTCCGGAAAACCCCCAGGCAATCTTGGGTGCTTTGTGGCCCCTCACTGAATTCCGAATTCATGTTCGTTTGCTCAGTGGGCGCACAGTGTCGGTCGACTGACCTGTTCTGATGTTGCTGTAAAATCTTCTGTTTGAACTGTTCCAATGTCGCATCTACCAAAGCACATGCCACATCAAGCAATTAAGTTCGATGCCTTGGAACACCTAAATATTGGCAGCAAACCTGTGTGAGGCTTCTCGAAGCCAGGTATATGATTTTTTGAAGCTAAGTGACCAAACAGCAACACACAATGAAACTTCAGACACAGTTGTGACACAACAACCAAGTATTGACATGAAACTAATTCTGGAATCATGATGGACAATTTGGCCAAAACCAACTGTTTCACCAATCACTTGCGCAAACTGACCGATGTTGTCCAAGCACAACAAGATAATCCCAAACCAACACACACACACAATTTTGTAAACACTTAATGACACACCGTGGTCTGCAAATACTGCCATTCGTTTGTAACCAAATGTATGTAAATTCAACTATGCGCGCTTTCTTAAAGAACATGTCTCATCCTGCCTTTGGTCCAAAAGGGGAGGGGGCAAGGCGGGCAAAAAATTGCCGAAGAGACTTAGGCTATGGAATCCTGTTCCTGCCATCATTAATCCGTCTTGGGTTGCAAAGTTGGACCACTGTTTGAAACCAACCGCTGCCGGTTCCGGGAACCAGGGTTCCGGGCAAGGTTCCGGAACTCAGGGTTTCGGGATCCAGGGTTCGGGGCAAGGTTCCAGGTTCCGCAAACCAGACTTTCAAGCAAGGTTCTGGGAACAATGGGTTCTGGCTACCTTTTGGGTTCCGGGACGTCAAGGTTCCGGGATCCCCAGGTTCTCGGCGCCAGGAAGGTTCCGGGCACACTTGGCTTTCGACAAGGTTCCGGGAACCTTACCATGGTTTCGAGCGGTTCTGGAATCACCGGAACACCAATTTTGAAACATCCTGGAAACCCAGAGTTTGGGGAACGAGGGTTCCGGCAAGGTTCCAGCAACACTGGGTTCCGACAAGGTTCCGAGAACCACCGCGGATGCGGACCCACAGTTTGGATATACTTCCTGGATTATGCCACAGGTTCCGGACAGGGACAAGGTTGCGGAACAACAATTTTCAAGAAGCCCAGCCCAGGTTCCAGAGAACCAGGGTTCTGGCAAGGTTCCGAGGTTCCGGAAACAACCCAGGGGTCGGATATACGCCGTGGGTTGTACCAAGGTTCATGCTACGGACAGGGTCCCAGAAAACCAATTTTCAAGGAAACCAAGGTTCCAGGACCATATAGGCCCTGTCAACGAGCAATCGCTGACAGGGGGGGGCACAGCGTGACAATAAATCAGCGCGTCTCGGTTCCGCAAACCCAGGGTTCCAATATACGCTGTGGGTTGTGCCAAGGTTCCGGAAACGAGGGTTCCAGGAAGACAAGGTTCCAGGAACACAAGGGATTCCGGAAATCCCCCAGCCAATCTTGGGTGCTTTGTGGCGGGTTCCGCACATGCCGATTCATGTTCGTTTGCTCAGTGGGCGCACAGCGTCGGTCGACTGACCTGTTCTGATGTTGCTGTAAAATCTTCTGTTTGAACTGTTCCGATGTCGCATCTACCAAAGCACATGCCACATCAAGCAATTAAGTTCGATGCCTTGGAACACCTAAATATTGGCAGCAAACCTGTGTGAGGCTTCTCGAAGCCAGGTAGATGATTTTTTGAAGCTAAGTGACCAAACAGCAACACACAATGAAACTTCAGACACAGTTGTGACACAACAACCAAGTATTGACATGAAACTAATTCTGGAATCATGATGGACAATTTGGCCAAAACCAACTGTTTCACCAATCACTTGCGCAAACTGACCGACGTTGTCCAAGCACGACAAGATAATCCCAAACCAACACACACACAATTTTGTAAACACTTAATGACACACCGTGGTCTGCAAATACTGCCATTCGTTTGTAACCAAATGTATGTAAATTCAATTATGCGCGCTTTCTTAAAGAACATGTCTCATCTTGCCTTTGGTCCAAAAGGGGACGGGGCAGGGCGGGCAAAAAATCGCCGAAGAGACTTAGGCTATGGAATCCTGTTCCTGCCATCATTAATCCGTCTTGGGTTGCAAAGTTGGACCACTGTTTGAAACCAACCGCTGTTGGGGATCTACGTCGGCTTATTCTGCTACGATCATTGCCTGAAATCATTGCCTGAAGGCACTCCTGTCTGCTCGCAGCAGAACTGCATGCTCATCCACAAGTTGCCAGTTTTCTGTAGGCCGGCTCTCTTCAGAGCCATCTGCACAGCCCACACAGCGCGGGACTCAGCATCTTGGAATGCAGGGATGGTTAATGGTTGATCAAATCTTTGTTCGTGTTTTTATTCCAGACTATAACGGGGTGCTGAAGACAAGGGGCAGTGGCGTTTGTACGCCGCCACGTTCCCGAAAAGAACCGGTCCAAAAGTCTCAGGTGCACATTCTACACTGGAAGCGGGTGAAAGGTTCCTAGGAGTCCCCAGTTCAAGTTCACTGTCAGGCTTCCATGGCAGAGGTCCCGAAGTTTTCTGGGGTTTCAAGCAAGTCCCCCGATGTCCCCCGGCAGTTTTGCATGTACAGGCTTTGGTCACTTGACTCACTATGAAAGCTTTTGGGGCAAACATGAGTGGCATGTAAAGCTTGAGGTCTTGGCGCGATTGGCGCTTTGACCAAGAGATCCGGGTCAGTGCCAGGCAACTTGCAAGATAGCGAACGGCGCGCAATGTGCCATTCGCCTTGTTTCTCAGGTCAGGTTTAGAGACAAGGAATGAGCTACAAGATCCACTGTTTTAAAAAGACGTGTAACTTAAAGCTTAGCTGCAAACCTGTCACAATTCATGCTACATTCATCCATTCTCGCGTGTTTTCAGACAGCATGCAGGAAGTGCGCGGGGTACAGCTTGCTCTAACGAAACTGACGCGGTGCCCCTTTTCAAAAAGCATTTGGAGGCATCACGGTGTCTGCATGGCGGCAGCCGCGGCTTGGAGTCCCTTCACTGGACCCTTTAGCCATCACGCCGTCTAGCTGTATAGGCCACCGAAGAGAAGCTAAGCGCACTGTGCTCAGTCCAACTGTACTGGTACAGTTGCATTCAAACCTCCCTTACTCTGGACCTGATGCTGTCGGCAGACTTTGTAACGCACAGCGCTTGGAGATCTCTTTTGAGGTGCAAATCGGCAGAGCTGTGAGCCCAGAGGGCCACTTCTGTGAGCGACGCGTCGCAATGATCAAAGGATGCTGGACTGAATATGTCGTTTCCGCACCCCTTTGGCATACCGATGGGGGGCACTAGCAGTAAGCTTCACCCTAGGTCCAACAGCAGAATGAGAAGTTGCGAGAAGCAGCTTTTTCCCGGGTTGATGCAAAGCACCTCGTCAAGCATGGAATTGTACATGAGTTGCTTTGTTTCATTGCCCTTCCATTTTTAGCCCGCTGCCTGAGGCTCTGTGGGTTTGAGGCCTTGCAGCCTAAGATCGATAGGCGGCTTGCAGAGCTTTCAGGAAATCTCCAAGGAGCTGGTTCAAGACTAGGTGCAACAGAACACATGGGACACCATGCGGCGCAGCCAATCTGCAACTTGAAATGCAACCAGCCCCGCAACCAGCAAAGCCACCAACCACTTCACTGATGGTTTCTCGCCGCAGGACTGTCTTCTGAACTTCAGGTACAGCCAGTGCCTTTGTTTGTGCTATGCTTCCCTTTGCGATACATGGCTTCCGCATGAGTTGCCAAGCAAATATCCCAAAACCACTGTACTTTCTCCTTTGCCTTCACTCAGGATTCGGCGCGCTGACCAGATGGATTCGAGGCTCATGAGCTCATGGTGGCCAGAACAAATGTAGCAGATTCCGCCCGCGATAGGACGTCAAGACTCACGACCGACTGCTGGAATTGTGTTCATACAGCCTGAAGGCTGCAGACGGAACAGCCTTCCAGCTACATCTTGAAAGGCTAAGAAGCTGGAAGCAAGAGCTGGAAGACACGCGCGCACCTCATGGACATGTTGACGGTAAACCTTTTGTAAACAGATACCAGTAGGACCGCACAAGGCTGCTGCGGAAGTTTCAAAAATAGGAAACTACAGGAGAGGCGCGTTGTTGTGATTCATGGATGGCAGAGGGAAACGATGAACCCAAAGGTGGAGGCTCTCGCTCTCTCTCTCTCTCTATTTGTGCCTCTCTACTTATCCATCTAGTTATTTATCTATTCATCCACCTATTTGTCTATCCAACCATCTATCTATCCAACCATCTTTCTTGCTTTCTTGCTGTCGTGCTTTCTTGCTTTCTTGCTTTCTTTCCTTCTTTCTTTCTTGATTTTTTCTTTCTTTCTTTCTTTCTTTCTTTCTTTCGTTTGTTCTTTCTTTTTTCCGTTCATCTATCCATGTTTCTCTATATCACCATCTATTTATATATCCGATCCACCTATCCATCTATCCATCTATCTATTGGTCTGTCTATCTATCTGTCTGTCTATCTATCTATCTATCCATCTATCTATCTATCTACCTATACATCTTTCTATCTGCCTTTCTAATTAAATCTATTCCATTCCATTGCTATCTGAAAGGAGCCAATGCGAGACTGCCTTCAAAAGTGAAAGTTGTCTACTCCAAATCAAAGGAATTCTGCGAGCAATACTCAAAGAAAAGTTCTAAGCTCCAAAACGCCCAACTTCTGCGAGAGTTTGACGCCATCAGTCTTTAATACTTTTGACTTGCGAACGCGCTCCCCGCCGCAACGCTGTGCGTTTTTTTCTACATCTCAACGTCCAAAGGTGTTCCGAGACCGTCAGTTTGCGTATATGCTTCGCGCCACAACAGCATGCGCTTTTTCGACATCCCAACATCAAAAGGTGGCCCGCAACCGTTAATTCTTAACGCTTTTGAGTTGCAAATGTGTTCCGAGCCACCACTGCCTGCACTTTTTCGTCATCTCAAAAATGGCCCGAGACCTTTCGTTTTTTACGCTTTTGACTTGCCCCATATGTAGCTTATTTTTTCTGATCCCTAAATAATTCTTTTTTGGTCTCTTATTTTTTGATCCTTAACAATTTTTTGGATCCGTCTCCCACGTCCAAAAGTGGTCCGAGGCCGTCACTTTTTGACACTTTTGAATGCGAATGTGCCCCGCACTGCAACGCTGTGCACTTTTTCGACATCTCCACGTCCAAAAGCGGTCTAACCGTCAGTTTTTAACACTTTGGACGTGCAAATGTCCTTCGCACCACAACAGCATGCGCTTTTTGAGTTTTCAACGTCCAAAAGTGGTCCGAGGCCGTCAGTTGTCAACATTTTTGACTTTTCTGACATCTCAACATCCAAAAAAGTTGTCCGGGACAGTCCGTTTTGCATTTTTTGCTTGCGAATGTACTTCACGCATCTTCACGCCACAAGGGCATGCATTTTGTCAACATCTCA